ATGCCCACTTGTCACTGCTGGGGAGTTTGTCAATCACCGAGCGTGTTGAGAGGGGTGGGATTGTGGCGGGGAGTTCATCGTCATCCTCATTCATCAGGTGGGGCAGTGTGGAGGTGGAGGGAAAGGACACACTGGAAGGATACCTCCTCTGGGTGGTTGGGCGGTTGCGGTTGATTCGGGTTGAACGGAAACAGTCTTGTACTCACAGAGTTGTTGTCTGTGTGGCCAGTGGGATGCGGTACAATGGGGTCACCGTAGTGCAACATCAGTCCAACGAGCCTCCCAGTTCTTCAACGGTTGACACTTCGAAACCGCCTTCAAATACGAGTTCGGTACTCCAATTCCAGGTTGTTATTCCTGCCACAGCAGTCCTTCCCTGTGGTACAAGGGTGAGGACACGGGGTTCGTACATCCAGGGCCAGGGGTATGGGGGTTTTGTATACAGTGTCCCAGATGGAGGTGTGTTTTCAATCTCCTGTTGGGTTTTGTCCCAGTGTCACCCTATAGGAAGCAAGTTTCCACAGGCTATTTTACATTGGTCTCAACTGCTAAAGGCAATGTTGGAGTGTTGGCGCGGCCATTTTCCAGGCTGTGCAAGTGTTGGTTCAGTTTCTTCCTGTTTGAAGCCTCCAGTCGTGTAGGTGTTGTCCACCTGTCGTCCCATGTCACTGAGTGTAATGACATGTGAGGCTACATTCTGGCCACATTTAGTCTGCCTTAGCATGTCACCGCTTTGTATCCTGCTTCTTCGAAGGCATTTCCATAATGAATCCGGTCGTTCTGTCGCTTGACAGTTGAGGCTTGCAGTTATTCTCTCTCTTTTTCCCCTCCAGCACACCACCCTCCCAGAGGACGACGGTATGAAGGTGGCAATGGCAATCCTTACAGGCAAGGCAGTGGCAGTCAGTGACGGATCATACAAGAACGATTCCGGCACAGCTGCATTCGTGCTAGAAGGCAACGATGCAGAAGGAAGAATCAACGGCGAACTGTGTGTCCCAGGCTCCCCAAAAGACCACTCATCCCTTCGAAGTGAACTGATGGGACTGGTGGCCGTGATGCTGATGGTCCGCACTCTGGTCCATCGCTTCGACCTCTCCAGTGGAAAGATCATCATAGGCTGTGACGGGCAAGCAGCACTGAAAGCACTGGAATCCATCTTTGAGCCAACCAGCAACAAAAGGGACTATGACCTGCGCGTGGAAGGCAGAGCAGTCCTGAAGCAACTATGGAAGCGCAAAGTGCAAGTTCTGTACCGTTGGGTGAAAGGGCACCAGGATGACGACAAGAGACCCACCCGGCGACTCCGACCGGAGCTGCTGCGTGGAAACGACCTCCACCATGGCTGTCTGGACCGATGGGCTATTCTGAATATAGAGATGGACACCAGGGCAAAAGCACACTGGGACCTGCACCAGTTCACCCCTTTCCCCAACATCCCATTCACCCACGAACGCGTGACAATCAAGTTCAAGGGCGCGAAACTCGCGCGATTCCACCTGAGAGAAGTTCACACACTCCTGGGAGAAGCTTCCATCAAAGCCCACTGGAAACAACGTGAAGAACGGGTTCGCGATGTGCACTACTCCACCGAAGCATGGAACGACAAGTGGCAACGCACCAACTGGACTGCCCACGGCCGGGCATTCAGAAGCAGCCCCCTTGGCACACAACGTTGGGTAACCAAACACGCCTCAGGACACTGCGGGGTCGGACGGATGCAACTTCGAAGAAAGTGGCAAGACCACAGCAACTGTCCGCGATGCGGCCTCGAAGATGAAGACACTCTCCATGTGCTCCTCTGTGACTCCACCACTGCTACAGCGGAATGGAAGAAACAAATGACGGAGCTGAACAAGTGGATGAAGAAGAGGCACACCCACCCCAGACTCCGAACACAGATTCTCCTCCACCTCAACCGGTGGCACCAAGGAGACACCACTCCACCCAACACCACCCGATTGCCGACCTCCATCCGCCAAGCCATCGCCGACCAAACCAACCTCGGCTGGTGGAACTTGTTACTTGGCAGGGTCTCCCAATCCTTCCTACACATCCAAACACACCACCTGCAACGACTCAAGAAGAATGGAGATGGCCTGGCTTGGACCAGCGCCTTCATCAAACAGACCTGGAGCCTACACTTCAGCCTTTGGACCAACCGAAATGAATCCGTCCATGGCACTACCCTAACTCCCACCCAACTATTCCAACTGGACACTCTACGCGAACGGGTTCGACAACAGTACACCCAAGGCACCATAGGCCTACTCCCCGTCGACCACTGGAGAGTCCACCCGGACACCAAAACCCACACCCTTACATTCACTATCGACAAGACAAAACGATGGCTTGAATCTACCACCCTGGCCCGAACAGAGTTCCAGAAGCAACTTGCTCCAGCGAATCGACAGCTCCAAAGGCAACAGCAACTGATGATCACACATTTTAGTCTTAATCCGGATTAGGCCACTGCGCCCCCGGTCACTCCACGAGGAGGCATTCACTGTGGTAGCGGAGAAACAAGGACCTGTCCCCTCTCGTTGGGGACGGAGGTGAAAGACGAGCGTAGACTAGTTAGCTAGTTACAATCGTGCTTATATGAGGTACATCCTCTTGTTTCAATGAAACTGAATGCTATTCCCCTCGTGTCGTGCGACCACCCACATAAACGACTCAGTTGCTTGGGCCCTCGGGCTCGATTCGTACCAGCATTGACAAAGGTCCTCCGGACCAGATAGGTAGTCTGCCTAAAACTAGTACTTTTTATATATACCTGGTACAAATCCGACGTGGTTCTTTGTATTGACTTCTCGACGTGGTGAATCCCGCCGCAAATGCATCCACGCAGCAGTGTCAGCTGTTGGAGTTCGTTTCGCTTTGGTTTATAACAGTGACCGATCAGCCATCGAGGCAGCACAGACACTAGACTCTGTCCTTTTCGCAAGGGCACTGTTCCAGCAACTTACTATTTGGTATCAGTGCCTCGACCAACCAGCAGCTGAAGCGATGACCACCTTCAACCAAATCAAAATTGGAGAGACACGATAAGCATTCTTCTAACCTGCCAGTTCCACTTCCGGTGCCACCATCTCGAACCCAAGCTCCAGAACCGAAGCCTTAATCGGACATGCTAATTTTGCCAATGCCAATTCGAAGGAAGAGCTGCAACTCATTGTTATTGTTGTGAATCACTTTACGACTTTGGAATGTTGGCCTTCTTTGCCTGATCGCTTTGCATCGCACAGGCTGTGTTTTTGGGTGTCAAACTCCTGGGGCGAGAAGCCAACTATGAATACACATAGTAGTAAGCAAGTTGACAGCAGAGTGAGAAACTTTGAGAGCTACCTGTACAGTCGTAGTCTACTGTACTCGATACGGCCGTGGAACTTGAGAAGCTAGACTTGAGACAAGACTTATTAGGTTTTCTAAGTTTTTTTTAAAGAGACTCAAGATTAAACTTTATAATTAGCAGCAAAAAGCTGCCTTCTTGCTGATACCTTGCTTGTCTTCTACTTGAAGAGTATTGTTGTTGAAATGGGACAGCATCACATTAGTGACTCACAGTCATGAGTTCTCCCCAGTCCAGTCCTGGGAGCGTGGCAGGATCATTGGAGAATAGAGAGCCCGACAGTCCCAAACAAGACTAGGGATTGACAGAGAAAGTACAGCTTCTGTAGAACTCACCATAATCTAAGTTATAAGGGGGGATTAGAGTAGGGAAATTATCTACGGAAGCCAGCCGGGGCCAGGCTTAAGCAAAGAACAGTCGAAATTCAGGACTAGGTTCTGTGGGATCAGGGGCAAGAAATTGAGGACCAGTACGGGGGCCAAATGGTTTGGCTTTGCGAGATCCACGGAGACATAAATGGGTAGCTTTCACGAGGGCAATTGAGATACGGGTCTGCATGAAAAACATCATTTGAGAGTAGGAAAACTGAGTTTTGGAGGCAGTAGCAGAAGCGAGCCATTGTAAGAGAATCTTGGCTTGGGGGGCAAGCATGCCATCCACAGAAACAATAAAGGGATGGAAGGAAGCGCGATTGGAGTCGTAATCTAAGACATTCACATTCCAACAGGTTATGATTAGCCCAATTTAGCGAGGTAGAGACAAACACCAGCACAGCATTGGCTTCGACACCAACTGTGGACTATGATCAACCTCTTTGGCTCGGCCGCCAAGAGCGTCCAATCATGGGCAAGTCGCTCTCGAAGACCCTCATCCTCATCGGCACCAGCCGATCCTCCGCTTCCTCCACCACAGCTTCCACCACGTCGAAGAGCACCCTCTCCAGTGATAGTGGAAGACGCATCTGACGATGGAACATCTCTCATTGAAGACCTCCCGTCAATGGTCTCCAAAGATCCCTACCACAGCAGTAGCGACGAGGACTCCACGACCATCGATGATCTTCCTACAAGTACAGATCCACTACAACAAGTGACACCACCTTGACGTGTTACTCAATCGCCCATCTTCCGCGTCAATAAATCAGAGTTACACAACCGGAGAGCACACTGGTTTCTGCTGGTGTTCTTCATTGACATTTACACGTACAGCTCACATACCGGTACTACATGTACTAGTATGCATAATACCGGTACCGGTTGAGCAAGTACGTGTTTAGGCAATCCAGGCCTGGGAGATGTACGGCTCTATCTATTGTCATTCAGCATTCAACAATCAACAATCGTCCCTCAACTGCTCTACAGCACATCATAAGGTAGACTATCGGTAATCGGTAACTCAGCTCCTATGTACAGACAATAGACAATGCAATGGCCAGCAGTGACAGCATGGGTTCCACTGAGATCCCAAAGGCCAGCTAGCTAGATTGGTTGACTCGACTCGCCTCGAAGATCCATCCATCAATGACACGTACTGGCGGTTGCCCGATTGTAGCTGATCGTACCAGGCATTACTGCAAAAGTCTCTCCGAATGAGGGAACCGTGTCCCTGTAGGCAAATCCGAAGTAGTCTCCTGTGCCCGGACCCCGGACAAGAGCAAGACCTTTGTAATATTCTGTGACTCCCATCTTGGCCAGCCTGCTACCTCCATGGTATCTAGGGCCTGCCAACTCTATTGGAGAGCCTCACATTATCCAACTCAACTAAGTACAATCTTCAACAGATCACCAAAAGATACCCAGCATTTACTATAGAACATAAGCTAGCTCTCACTTTTTACCATTCAATTACTCTATCAATCCTATACTATAGAACATAAGCTAGCTCTCACTTTTTACCATTCAATTACTCTATCAATCCTATCCTACTAGTGCCATCTTTATTGACTTGCCAGCAGGAGGTGGGTTGTTCTTTGGTTGTTTTCTTTCCTTCTTCAACTGGCAGCGGGAGCTTTTCTCTTCGCTCCAAATGTCGGAAGCAGAAAGCTCTCCACACTCGTAAAGCTATCTTGCCGGTTCGGTTGTTCAATGACGATTGAATTGCAAGGGACATCCATAACCATGAAAAAACCGGATCCGAAGTGTTGTTGCGTGTGTAAAGTGACCCTTCGCCTGCACTGAAGCAATATTCAGTTTTGGTTAAGATGCACTGCCTCCAGACATCGTCAAAAAGGGATATCCGAAGCCTTGAGGTTTGTCATTCCTAAAGTGAAAGCACGATAGAATTCCCTATCTTCTGCTCTTCTGTCAATCAACCAGTTGCTTGCTTGGACAGTACCGGTAGCGACGGAATGAAGACTTCCAACGTTCCAACAGCTTAGCAACAGATGCCAAATAAATGGGTGATACTAGCTAGCTAAGGCTATACCGGTAGTGACGAGTCATACCGGTACTCTCTTCGTACCTTGACATGATTGCATCCCAGATACTGTACCAGGTATGTTGAATCAAAGTCTCACATTGGTTCTTTTCAACTCAAGACGTGAGGAACTCATACAGCAATATCAATTGCATTGGACCCTTCTTTCAGGCGCGCTTTGATTCCTTGTGGTTGCCGAAAAAGAGCTCGAAGAGGACCCGGTGGACTTGACTTTGTGAGATGATGACGGTTGCCCTTCCAAACCCCAAGATTTGTTTATGCATATTTATTTGGTTGCAGAGCTGTTCCGGAACTCCTGAAGCAGATGAAGAGGGGTAGACTAGGTAAGTTTAGGCTTAATAAAGCTATAAGACGTAAAATATTCAACCAAGAATGAATCTGCAATTGTACCTCATCTACCCAAATTACAAGGGTTGGATCTAAGATTGCATCTGCTCCGTAACAGAGAGAACAGAACTCCCATGTTCCGTCTCAACGGCAGCAGAAGCCAAAAGCCTGACCGACTGTGAACACTGAGTACTAATTGTTCAACAAAGATATAATAGAAACGTTTCCATCCGAAGGTTTCCAGAAATCCTTTCACTCCGAGTGGGCACGAGCTGGTCAAGTCTGTGGTCATTCCAAATTCCAAGAGGCATTTTTAGTTCTGTTCCGAACTCCGAACACTTACTTCATCATCTTCACTTTGATTGATAAAAGGCCAAGCTCAAAGCATTGGAAGACCGAGAATTCTCTGGCGCCACCTGCCCACAAAATATTCAAAAACTGCACACAGCTTGCTGAGATAACCATTCATTCACTACGTTCATTCAATAAAGACTTTTACTTTACCTTCGTTCAACCAAAAAAGCACCAACCATGGAGTCCGTCGACGGAAGCTGCGTTCGGGTGAAAGACCACATGCGACACAACGCCAAGCTATCGGAGTGCTTGGATGAGGAGTCTGGATCTATTTCCCATTCGCACAATGCAAGTGCCACTGGCTCCATGACCAGTGTCAGTCGTCGTCAGGCAGAAGTTGCCCAACGAAGCAAAGAAACCAGCACCCGTTTCATCACTTTGTTTGCCTTCCTCGTCCTGCTGGTCGGCTGCGCTGCCAGTGCTTGCTTCCTCTACCTTGGTATCACGTCCGCCAAGAACGATGAACAGGATCACTTCGATCGTCGCGCTACAGAGGTGGTCCAGGAACTCAAGTCGGCTTGGGGGGACTATGAAGTGGCGGGACTTTGGATACACGAGTCCTGCCGCAAACGAGACTTTACGCGTCGCGACTTTACCGAGCTGTACGAATATATTCGTTCCGACGGGCTGACATTCCAAGCGGCCGAGTTCATTCCCAATGTGACGCATGCCGAAAGGGCGCAGGTGGAACAGGAAGATCGCGAGTTCTACAGTGAGTTCTACCCAAACAGAGTAACCTTTCATGGTTTCAAGGGGTTTGAACCTGATCCTGAAGGTGGAATGTCCGTCCAGAATCGGTCTCAGCAAGAGTTCTATTTCCCCGTTCGCTTTGTCGAGCCCGTGGAAGCGAATGCGGCGGCGGCGGGGTTTGACTTGTACAGCTCCGCAAGTCGCAAGGCAAGCATTCACGAAGCGCTAGGTACTTGGGAACCATCTCTGACGAATCGCTTGCAACTAGTTCAAGAAACAGATCCCAGCGCTTACAGCGTACTTCTCTTCCACCCCGGTGTCAAGTTGGAGTCAGCCGATCAAGTGCAAGGACCCAGGGATCTCTCTTTGCTCGTCATCCGCATACCAGATTTGCTCATTCGGTCTAGCCGCAACCAAGTCGAATCGATCGGAATGTACGTCTACGATAAAAGCACGGAACCTCCTCAGTTTCTGGGCGCCACCACTGTTACGGTGTCCAAGGTCACCGCCGTGGAAGCCGACAGCGGCGTTCCTGGTGAAACCGGCCATGACGAGTTTGTGTACCAGGTCGAGCGTACTATTGACTTTCTCCCCGAGGTGGAACTGGACGAGTTGATTGGGTCACTGGAGGGGGCTACTTCTACCAAGTTTACGCGAGAAGACATTCAGGCATCTTCCAAAACGTGGGAGGTCGTGGTGTTCCCGCTCGATGGAACGTATGAGCCCGATACAGGCATGGTGTGGATGACGGGGATTATCATTGCGCTGGCCACTGGTGCCTTGGCCTTTTGCCTTTTCTTCAACATGAGAAGGGTGACTGCCATGAACGAGGTCATCTTGAGAGCGGAAGCAGACCAACAGATCGTTTCAAGCTTGTTCCCCTCGAAGATCCGCCAACAGATGGAACAAACGAATGGCTTGCAATCTGGGAATAACGTGTCCCATGAAGGGGTGTTTGAACATGCTCCCATTGCCGAGTTGTATCCGGAGACGTGAGTTCGTCGTGTCTTGACTTCTGTCATGCACCCCTGCTTGAGCGTAGACTCACTTATGTTCTCAATGTGTTCCGGGGGATAGAACCATCATGTTTTGCGACGTTGTGGGGTTCACCAGTTGGTCCTCTGTTCGTGATCCAGCCCAGGTATGGCTGATGTTATTGAGGGCCACGACGTCGTGTCAGACGTCACTCGAAGTACTCACTCCCTGCATTGCAATGTCGGCTTAGGTTTTCACCTTGTTGGAGAGTCTATACTACAACTTTGACTTGATTGCTAGACGACGCAATGTATTCAAAGGTTCGCAGAAAATTCTCCTCTGAAACTGGCGGCACTCTTGCAAGTCTAACATTGCTTGTACTTCGTTCCATCACTTCTTTTAGTGGAGACGGTGAGTGAGAGACAACACGATGCACACAGGGGCTCGTTGCAGTGTCTTGCGGCTTCCTCTTTGAATGGTCTTTCTGACAGAGCTTGCTGTCCTTGATTCGGCTTGTTCCCACTGCGTCGTCACATCAGATTGTAAGTTCAGCCGTGCTAAGGGTGGTTTGAGGGGAACAAGGCTCGTTCTCACCCATTCATTGATTCCATCATTCAGGGAGACTGTTATGTTGCCGTAAGTTTTGACCCTCTTAGTGCAGCGAGCGTTGTTCTTCGCAAAGTTGGAGTGCACAAAGCTAATAGGACCCAATGCTTTGGATGTGTGCCTTTGCTAAACAGGTTGCGGGGCTACCAGATCCACGTAAAGACCATGGTGCGTGTGTCTCGTTCAAGAACGGGCAAACTGGAGAAGAAAACTGATAGAGATTCAGGGTTGCGTTTTCAAATGACTAGTCGTTTTCACTCAAAGAATACTCACCCCAACGCCCTTGTCTTGATTGTTCCTCGGGCATTAGCCATGGTGATGGCACGGTTCGCTGTGGATTGCCTCTTGAAGACGCCGGAAGTTACGCACGGTATGAGATCACTTCACCACGACCGAGTTTGTTTAATCACTGTATGACAGGAAACGCTCACCTTCCCAATCCTGCCGCTTACAAGGGCTGGAAACGAGGCTCGGACCAGATACGAGCGAGCTTTCAATGAGATGTGGACTTCACAGTGGACCGGTCACTGCGGGTGTCCTACGGGGAGAGAAGTCACGATTTCAGGTGAGTGAGCAGGAAATTTCGTGTCATGACCATCACAACCGCGTCCGTATGGCAGCATGCTGCTCACGTGTCGTGTTTTCTTGCATGCCCCAAGTTGTTTGGCGACTGTGTTAATGTCGGTGAGTGGTTGACGTTCACTTTGTGTCTACTTCCTTGGTTTCGTTTGCATCTGATCCATTCGCACCATGTCGACTTCGCGGCGTTTTTAGCTTCAAGGATGGAAAGTACGGGTCAAAGTGGCAGGATTCAGGTACGGGTCAAAGCGGCCGCATTCAGGTGTCGGCATCTAACAAATCAGCCGTTGCTTTTAATATGTTATACTTTAAACCAACTCCTTGTCCTGCTTGTCCCAATCCTCTTGCCCAGGTCTCGGAAGCAACCGCTTCGCTGCTACGTGAAGGCGGGAGAGGTGATTGGTTAGAAGATGAAACTTCGGTGGCAATGTGCAAAGGCAAAGGGGAGCTTATGACTTGGTGGCTGAAAATTGATGCAATCGCTGGACCTCAAGCAAACCGCCTCCACAACAATGGCAACCCACTAATCCATCTGCCTCCAACCGTGAAGGACAGTCACAACTTGGATGCAAAGACATTGAAACTGGTCGAATTCAATGTTATGGTGCTAGAGCGCTTCCTGCGACAGATTGTCGTCCGTCAACAAGCAAACTCACGCAAAAAAAGCCGAAACAGTTTAAGCAAGGCTCCTTCCCTCAAAGCGCTCACCAACGGTGGCCTCTCAGGAGTGAAAGATGTCATTAGCATGCCAGAGTTCGATGCCGTGGCTATTGCAAAAGCTGAGGCGATGGACCCCAACGCGTTAGTGCTAGACCCTGAAGTTCTGCCCCAACTGAGAGACTACACCATGCGAATCGCAGCCACATACCATACCGAGAATCCCTTCCACAACTTCAAGGTGAGCACTGAGTCTTTGGCTGCCGCTAACTCGTGGAACTTATCCAAATCTCTAAGCTTCTTGCCTTTGCTTTCTGGATGCGCGACACAACAGCATGCAAGTCGTAAGTAGAACTGCTTGTGGCGAACTGGTAAGATGACTTGAAGAGGAAACGTGCTCATGTCTGCGTTTGATGCAACAGATGTCGTCACATCTATCGTGAAGCTGCTAAGCCGAATCATCAACCCCCAGCTAATTGAGCTGCAAAAGGATAAGGCAGTTGCTGACACGCTCACTCATGCGATGCACGATCACACATTTGGCATAACGAGTGACCCAGGTAGGAGAAAGATAGCTTGCGCCGATCCCGTCAGGGTTGCAGCATTCTGCTCACATGTCGGTTCTGCTTGCATCGCCCAGTCACACAATTTGCGGTTGTTTTTGCGTAAGTTCGTTTGGAGGTTCGTTGTGGTATGATGAGATTACCCACCTTGTCAAAGCTCAATGATCCATTTGTCGTGTAGCGGTCTGATTCATGATGTGGTAAGCACAACTCTCTGTTCTGGATGTTTCCAATCCTTTCGTAAGTAAAGCTCACAGTCAACTGGTGTCCTTGCACACCCATGTCCCGCTTTCCAGGACCACACTGGCTTGCCAAATGCGGTCCTAGTCAAGGAGGAAAGGCCATTGGCAAAGAAGTACAACAACAGGCAAGTCCAGAAAATTGTGTCACCGTCACAACGCCATGGCAGCATGCCGCTCACATATCGCTGCCTCGACAACCCAGGAGCGTAGCTGAGGCAAACTCGTTGGACATTGCATGGGGCATTCTCATGGAAGACAAATACGAAAGCCTCCGTCAGTGTCTGTTTGAGACAGATGCCGACCTTGACCACTTCAGGGATGTCCTTACGAACACGGGTACGTTCTGAATTGGTGTCTTAATTAATGCCCCAGCTTTCAACACGACACTCAGCAACTATCTTCTCCCTCCCTTGCGATAGTCATGGCAACTGACATCATGGATAAGGAGCTAGCACTTGCCCGCAAGAATCGTTGGGAGATTGCTTTTTCCAAAGAAAACGACAGTGAGAGCGACCCCAGCGGGTCCAGCGAAGGTGGACGTGATAGCGTGGATAGGAAAGCCACAATAGTTTTGGAGCATCTGATCCAAGCAAGTGACGGTAAGTCAATAGCCAGTCGTCAATGACCTCCTCGTTCTCCAAGGCTCAGCTTTGCTCACTACAACCTTGATTCTTCCTTGTATCTGTCCTCCCTTGTAGTGGCTCACACAATGCAGCATTGGCATATCTACAGGTGAGGAATGACCCGACGACTCGTTGCCCTTTGAATTTGGTCCCGAATACGTTGCATCTAACTACTAGTCTTATTGCTCGTCCAGACAATGGAACCAGCAGCTGTTCCTTGAAATGTACCACGCCTACAAGACGGGGCACTTGGAAATAGATCCTTCGGGTAGGTGTTGCGAGGCTCATGTGGATACGGTTGGATTCCCCGTTCGGTTGGATGCTGTCACTCACAATTAACCCTCCTTCTATTACAGTGGCTTGGTATGAAGGAGAGCTCGTAAGTGCAGAAAGGTTGTGGACAACGCGATATCGTCCCATCTACTGTCATCCTCACTTTCTTTGCCCGCACCAACTCCTATTAGGGTTTCTTTGACTACTACATCATACCGCTTGCTAAGAAGCTTGAGACATGCGGAGTGTTTGGGGTCTCCAGCCACGAATACCGCACCTACGCCCTGTCGAACCGACAAGAATGGGCTGAGAAAGGGAAAGGCCTCATTGCTGCATATCTGAAGACGTACAACGAAGCCGTTGGAAAACAAGCCACAGTGGGGTTCCAGAATCAGATGTGGTGCTAGGCCGAAGCTATTCTATGTGTTTCATGTTTCATATTACATGTGGATCGAGAAGGGCCATCGATCATGCATCCCCCGCTATCTGACTAGCCAGTTTACAATCATGCATGATATCCATTTTAGTTCGATTCCCATAAATGTTGCTACCGTTTGTCTCCACTGTCGACGTTTCCTCGACGATGGAATCCATTGGAAGGAGGTTGACTGTAGCTAAAGACCGGTAGCAGCTAGTTCTGCTGCTTTTGTTGGCGGAAGTCCTGCCAATCTCCACCGCAGATGGCCATTTGCGGAAAAGCCAAACAAGGAAACGAACTTCGCCTTGGGATTGCATCGTCGTGGTAGCTCTACTACAAAACACTCAATTGTATCACTTCCCCTGCGGCACCGCTTCAGTTGTAGTAGTCATCATCGTCTGCGACCTCAAGGTAACCATCATCAACCTCGAATTCCACGATTGTGGATTCGTAACTTTCACTGTCGGTAGAACCGGATGTCTCACCGACGGTATCCTCAAGGTAACCATCATCAACCTCGAATTCCACGATTGTGGATTCGTAACTTTCACTGTCGGTAGAACCGGATGTCTCATCGACGGTATCATATATGGAGATTGACGATACAGTGTCGGCAGAAACAGAGCCCGATGATCCACTGGCTGAATCATATGGTAATGGTACCGGTATGGGTTTTAAGTCAGCAGAATCGGATCGCGAGCCTGATGCTCCCTTGCTGGTAGATCTGGAGCCTGATGCCCCTTTGCTACCGGACCTGGATCCACTGTTCCTGGAAGCGCTGAGAGAGCCGTAGTCGTCGTCGTCATAATAATTAATTCCATAGCCACTGCCTACAGAGCTCCCACTGCTGCCCTTGCTTCCGTAGTACCGGTATCCAGAACTGCTGCCACTCACCCCTTTGCTGCCACTACCGGTACCACCTTTGCTTCCATACGAGGACCGAGAGCCACTTCCATGGCCCTTTCCGTGATGGCTCTCATAAGAGGACCCAGAGCCACTTCCAGAACCCTTTCCATGACTTCTAGAAGAAGAGGACTGATAGTGACCTTTTCCGCCCTTGCCTTTTGATCCGCTTCCTTTGCTTTTAGATTTGCTTCCTTTACCCTCACCACTTCTGCTTCCGCTACGTAAACTACCTTTGCTGCTGCTGCTGGCAGTTTTTTTGCCGGATACGTTGGGATAGTAGTCATCGTCGTCACGGTAATGCGCATCGTAGTATTCTGTCGAGTCATTGTCGGCGGGCGAAGCCAGGAATTGATCGTAGTGGTCCACTCCTTGATAGTCATTGTCTTGCAGTGTTTTCCCAACATTGCAAGCACTGCAGTCACAATCGCAATACTGTGTTCCTTCGTTCTCGCCATCTTGACAAAAGCAGTTAATGCAACAGTCTTCGACTAGTTCTCGCGGCAGAAATCTCCATTGTCGTCGTGGAATCGCCGCGTCTTCTTCTGCCGTTCGCAAGTTACGGCCTTGTGCTCCCATCACAAACAAGAAGCAGCTCCATGCTCCCAAAATCCATTGGACGGTCTTCATGGCGATATTATAAACCCTTGGAGGTACGGTAGAATTCAAACAAACTGGGCTTTTTAAAAAACACGGGAGACGCAATGCGATGAGATGCAAATGAAGAGAGAGAGAGAGAGAGAGAGCTACCAAACTCTTTTCCTTTTCAACTCTCGTGGTCCAAAATTCGAGAGACAAGATTCATTGACGATCTTCTGCAGCATGATGCGGCGTCAAATGGCTTTCTCGACCGTTTGCTCTGAAAATTCGGTGGTCTCTCGGCTCACTCCCACTTTGCCGCCAGTCGACTCCCACAACTTTAACCCTACCGTAGCAAAGTTGTTTTGTTGGGCACAGACAAAAGGTGCACCAAGGCTCTGCACCAATGAATGATACAGTGTGTTCGCGATTATATTTATAAACGTATATTTATATTCTCCAGTATATTTATGGAATTTCGATGTTCCCCCCTGAGTCACGAGTGACCGTGACTGACGTCAGTGCATGTGTACGTACCCTTCGCAAATCTCGTAGCAGCAAAACAATGGCTCGCAATCCATTCCAAACACTCCAAATCGATCGACGTACGTGTAAATGCCAATGCATGTCGATAGAGGTGCTGATGGAGGTCTGATAGAGTGCCGCACCTCCGCTTGCCTGTCGATTCTCTGCCAATCTGCGCAAATCTTCGTACCAGTGGTTTTTCATGGTTTTTCGCGAGATTTGCGCAGAATGGCACAGAGGAGACAAAAACAATTCTCTGAGCAACAAAACAATTTCAAGCAAACCATACCAATCCCTCCAATCCGACCTAGACCAACATGAACGGTGCCGATTCAACCGCTCCACGCGTACTTTACTAGTAAATAGAGCCTATATTTATATTCTCTAGTATATTTATAGGAATCCGTATTACCCCCATATAAATATAGTCAAGAACTGACTGTACCAGTACAATCCAACTTCTTCCAGACTGTCACTCGGCTCGGCTCCAAATGTGACGCCACAGTGATCTAGCCATTGCCGCGAAAGGCAACAAAGACACATTTCGGAGTGAAGAAGAAGGGTACAGTGCAATCGCGCAATTGCCGTCATCTCAACACCGTTTTGACGATTTCGCTAAATGAGTCCATTTGGTAGACAAAGTATCCCAAAAACATAGGAGTTCCAGGGACAGACTTTGCCATCATGCTGTTCCATTATTTTGCCGGGTAATACATCGTGCGCCCGGTCATTCTTCAACTTGGGTGAAGCATCAACACAACCACAGCTCGATCTCACTTCGTTAGTGAACTGGTGGACCCATCCACAGTAACATGTACGGCTACTGAGACAAGCTTCACGGAAACTCCATTGCAAACTCCTGTCCAAGTTCTTCCGGCGTTGCATGAAGCAATAGACTGTGCGCGTCATCTCAAAGGTTCTTGGCTAGAAAGGACTAGGTAGCGCAGTGCTCAGAATGTCCAGCGGCAAGCGTTTGGTTGCTGGAGTATTGTAGCACACACACACAAGGGCCGAAATAGCCGGCAAGCAAAGTTCAGTTGCACACACAAGCAATGGGATGGTACACGTACCTGGTAACCGTTATCTAAAGCATCCACCCAGTCCCAGTTGAGTGGGAGATGCGGTCAACCGCGAGTTGATAAATTTAGAGCTTTACCCCATCCTTACTTTTGTTCAGACTGCTCGGCTTGATACTATGTAGTATCCAGCTCCCTTTTAAAACATGGCTGTCTCCAAAGTCAACATGTTTTGCAAACAAGGTCAACAACCAAAGTCGATCTTCGGATCTCGGCTCTCTGGCTTTCTCAAAATTCGAAACAGCAAGGAAACGCAACGCAAACAGCAAAACAAAAAGCAAAACAAAGACTCTCACTCACATAATATCAAACGCCAGCCAAAAACGACCCAGCAAAGAAATTCATTGAATACAAACACTTCCAAGTAGAAATCGTCAGCCCGTCTCTGCTTCGCGAGCGACACAGTGCAAAATGATCTTCAACCCAAAAGCTATCACGTACCTCTCGGCCATCCTCCTTGTGGGGCAGGTCTCCTCCACACCCGCGGCAACTCGGCGGTTGGGAGAATCGCTCTGCAGCTACAAGGTCGAGCTTAAATCCGGTTCCTCGGAAGCCTCCCCTCTCAAGATCACGTTGCAGATGGAAGATGGTGACGAGCATCCCAACTCAATGGTTATTGGGACAGACTTTGGAAGCCACTACTTGGACTTTAACGATGTCAAGTGTGGAAATGTAAAGGGTTTGGGAATCGTCCAGGAAAGTGATACCTTGACTGAAATCGTAGCAATCAAAGTACACAAGGACGGAAGCTATGTGTATGGCGACTATTGCTTCTCTAAGGCTAAATGCGGTCAGTTGAGATTGACAAACTTAGACGCATGCGGCTCGGCTTCCGCAGGTGGTGTGAAGCTGGGCAAAGGAGATATGTTGCAGGTAAGACAGGGAAAATGTGCACAACTCCATCATGCTGGAAGAACACCGCTCACACCGTTTTCTTATTCTCCTTGGAAAGTCCTTCCGAGATGGTTCGGAGGAGTGCTCTGGGGGACCGTGCGATGAACAAGAACGAGCCAAGATCACTTCTGAGAACAAGTGTTTTGATTTCCTTCCCACTTCCAACTTGGCCCCAGATAATGTCACTAGTTCCGACGATGAATGCCAATCCGCGCCCATTGCTTGTGTGAGTGATGATCCCAATGAAACAGCCTCGTGCGATCCAGCGACTGGGTGCGTCTTCACATGTGAAACTACGGATTTGTGCACCAAGAAATTCTATAACGACGAGGGAAAATGTATGTCTGAACCCGTCGTGTGCGATGATTCCGATCCCCGTACGCTGGACACCTGCGATCCAGAGAAGGGTTGCGTCCATTCCTGTGTATCTCCGGACGATCTCTGCAAGGTGCCTCACTTGGATGACGACATGAAGTGCCAGTTCAAAGAGCGAGTTTGCGATGATGGAAACCCCGAAACAATGGATAGCTGTGACCCTGGTAAGGGAGTTTAAGTGTACCATGATTGGCCTTGTGTTCGCCTGTTTCCTCATCATTTGCCTTTGATGTTCCTTGCAGATATCGGTTGCGTGCACAAATGTGGGGATGACAACAACGCCTGCACCATCGAGTCATTCGACGATAATGGAAAGTGTGTATCTACTCCAATCGTTTGTGATGATCAGGATCCCTTCACGCTCGATGTCTGTGACCCGGCAAGCGGATGTATGTTCCTTCCTTTGAACGAGGACCTGGAGGACGAGCTCGACAACCTTGCTCTCGACAAGGAGATCTTTGTATACGAGGATAAACCTACACTCTCTGAAGAGGACGAGAGAGCGATCCTTCTCTGGCTCAAGACCGAAATGAATCAGAAAAACACCCCATTCTGCTGGAAACGCTCGTATGGTCGCGGCGTGGGCAAAGTACTCACCGAGTGTCCAGAGGGAAAAGGTATGTTGTTGTCTTCTGCACAATACCTACATGCTGATCTTCCGCGCGGTATCCTCAATGATTGATTGATTGATTGATTGATTGTCTTCTTGCTTCGTTTTCAGAGCGCGTGGGGGCACTGTGCTATTCTAAGTGTCCTGCAGGGTACAGCCGCCAAGGAACCCTGGACTGTCAACAGAACTGCAGCGAGGGATGGAGAGATGACGGTCTCTTCTGCAGATTGGCAGAATACGGTAGAGGTGCTGGATTTGCTTGGACGTTCAGTGATGGCTTCAGCGACCAGGGAATGTACAGGCGCTGTGAGAGAAAACATGGCAAGGGCAAGTGTGAGAAGTGGGGAGCAGTCGTCTACCCCAAGTGTAAAGAGGGATGTAAGTATTCATACTGTACTCATGCTCACTGTTCACGAGGCTTGCTCCAAATTCGATCTTACCGTTTCTCCGATGCCGTGGCGCTAACTCCAACAGATGAGCCAAGGGGATGCTGCATCTGCGGACCAAAGAGCTTTGATTGCAAGAAGGAGGGATACGCCGGTGAATTTGGAGGTTCCTGCGCAGCGAAGATCAAGCTCGGTGACCCAACTCCTATGAAATGCAAACCCGGCATGGATGAGGATGCTGGTCTTTGCTACAAGCAATGCAAGAAAAAGTTCAACGCAGTCGGACCTGTCTGCTGGCAAAAGTGTGACAAAGACCAAGTTGATTGTGGCTTTGGATGCGCAAACTCTGCCGGCACGTGTGTCAATGAAATCACCGACATGGTGTTGGCTCCACTCATCGCTACCGCCAACGTCGCCATCAATTTAGCAAAGATGGGTCTGCTACCATCAGGCACTGGCGAGGTGATTTCACAGGGGGTTCAATTTGGGATGCAGCTGGGAAGCAAATTCTACTCTTTGCTGGACGGCACAGACTCAGGAGTCGGAATGGCCCTCCTTCAGGTTGCAGACAAGATTCAAAATGTGGACTCTGACGCTATTGGTAGCATTGGACAGGGTCTGGACACGTCTGCTGCATGGACAACTTTTGTTGGCGCATTGCAGACTGGAGCAGATGAAGTTTTGTCACGCATCGTCAAACCTCATTCCAATGCAACGATGGATATGTATGCTAGCATCAGGAGGTATGAAGCCGAATTTGCGGGTTCATTTGGGGAACTGACCTCCCCTGAGATTGAAGCCGAAATTGATTCGAAGCTCAGTGAGGTTGACGCCTACCGTATCAAGCAACTCTGGGCTGACGTTCAATTCGAGGAGATCGCTGAGAGGGAGAAGTGGAACACAACACTCAACGATGTGCTGTACTGGACCGACATCATTGATAATCACGTCAGTGGGATTCTTGGATTTGAGGTCAAAGAAATCGTCAGCGCCTATGCGAAGCCAATCTGCCACGAAATCCATCCATTCCCTGAGCTCGAAGGAAGGGCCGAGGAAAAGAACTAATTGAAGCCAAATGGCTCTCTTCCTTACAGTACACGGTGCATGCAGGATTGCCGAACGAAAGGCAGAACAGGCTGAACAGACTGAAGAAACGATGTCGAACCTAAGAAAACTAGAAGTATGAATAAACTATCGCGCCGCCAATACAAAGTTTCGTCTCCTACCGGTACCGTAAGGCCCAATGTTGGCTTTGGTCCACCATTAGAGCGGAATTTTCAGCCAACCAGCATCCTTTGTGCTCGGAGAGTTTTGAACCATGACCGACATGCTTTCTAATCCTATTCATTCGGGACTTGCGTGCGCGTAAGAAGAGCCAAAAGCACAAAATAGGACGTTTTGGCGTTGCTCATAAACGCCTGATTTTGACACAACGGCACGACGGTAGAAGGACCGTCCGACGGTTTTGCCTAAGGTTTTAAAAAAACTTAATATATCCCAGTGGAAACATTCCCTTAAACATTCCCTTTTAAAACATTCCCTTAAATCCTCAACATTCCCTTAACATTCCCTTAAATCAACATTCCTTTAAGGCTTCGAAACATTCCTCTAAGCCTTCATGTGAACCTCATAGAACATTCCCTTATCTCAAATGAACATTCCCTTAAAAAACATTCCTTAAAACATTCCTTTAAATCCTCAACATTTCCTTAACATTCCCTTAAATCCTCAGCATTCCCTTAACATTCCCTTAACGAGAACCACGATTTGAGCAGTTTTCAAACCTGAGCAAAAACCGTCGGACGGTCCAGTACAGTTCGAAACAAGGGGAACGAACCGGCAGGTTTTGTATGTGGGAAGTGGTACAGTAGTAGGTTTGTACAGAGTTCTACACAGACCGACCGTTAAATACAAAACCAGCCGTTAACCGTTCCCTTAAAAACTGACCTGCTACTTAGGGCCGGCTGTGCCCCATCGGTCTCCGGCCTGACCATCGGGCTGTCGGGCTTGCGCCCTCTCTTAAGCCCTCGGTCAGACCTCCGACCTTGGGTCCCTGCCTCATGCCCTAAGTAAGCCGGTCTGTTTTTAATAAATATTATCAAGCTGGCCAGTGCCTCTCAGATTGTATTTTCAGTGTTTCGGCCGATCATAGCTATCTACTTGACCCACTCACGAAGAGAATCATGCCGTATCTTGAGTTTTGTCAAAACGCCTGCGTAGGCTGGGTCCTTGATTACATCTTGTTCTTCTTGTGGATCACTGGTCAAGTTGAACAATTGCTCTGTTCCCCACTCTGGCCATTGAATATACTTTAGTCCTTTCCTTACAACAGCCGTGGAGCCAGGGATGACAGTCTTACCAAAGATACTAGGATACTCATAAAAGAAATCCTTGCGCCAACCTGGTCTTGTCTCTTCCTCTCGCAAGTATAACTGTGCGACATCTTGCCCCTGCATGACGCTAGGAGTACTGATGTTGGCCGCCCCCAATATTGTAGGTGCCAAGTCCACGTTCAATGTAAAGGCATCTTCTGTAGTCCCCTGCTTGCTGTTTGGCATGCGTGGATCCCAAATTATGAGTGGCACCCTGAGAAGGAACCGAATGCAACGTTAGAAAGACACTCATCTGATGGTAGCACGCAAGAACATCCTCTGCCCTTCTTCTTACCGGATGCTCTCCTCATGGGGATACCATTTACCGGCAAGACCATGTTCCCCATGGTAGAATCCATTATCCGTTGTAAAAATCACCATGGTCTCGTTCAGTATTCCTTGTGCCTCAAGCTCTTGCCAAATGGCTTGACATGCCGAATCCACTTCTGTGATGAGCCTGTAATAGTTTTTGAGCATTTTGTCATACTTTGTAGGCTCATCAAATCGGGCATGCCATCGTTGTCGGGCAATGTTGCTTTCCCCAAACCAATGGGGCAATCTAGCATATGACTCGGTCATGTTGACTGGGGGCTTGAGAGTAATGTTCTGATAGTAGACTTCCTTGGACCTTTCTTGGGGCAGGAATTGCTCTGGGTTGTCATCCTCTGAATGAGGAGCAAAGAAGGATACTGTCATTTGGAATGGTTTATCCTGAGGACGTTCTCTCAAGATGCGAATGGCATCTTGTTGATTGCGTTCCGTGACATGGAGTGGCCGTGGATGTCCCGGAAAGAAATGGCGACCATAGTAGATTGTCGAGTAGTTCCAGTATCCTTGAATCTTTGGGAAATCGGCCGTGTGCCACTTTCCAATGTGGGCAAGATAATACCCCGCCTGTTGGAGCAATGCAGGAAAGGACATGTTGAAATTTTGGTACCACGAACTATTCATGACTTTGGCTCCCCCATGTCGGGAGAGATACTGTCCCATGTGCAACGTAACCCGGCTGATCCAACAAACACTGGTTGTGACGCAGTTGTGTGTAAACCTCACTCCCTTTTGCGTGCTGAGCCAGTCGAGAAAGGGAGTTTCGACTGGAAGTTTTCCTGCGACGCCCTGTTTTAAATAAGTTATGAAAGCATGTGTAGTATACATGTATACATGTAGACAAGCATCTCGGTGAGATGATTCAATTCGTTTCTGGACTTTCACGGATCCAATCATCTGAGCTTTCTTACCAGTGCATCATGCCTCCAGTCATCGGCATATAGGAGTACAATATTGAGAGGCTTGCCAATCTCTCTGGGCTTGTTGTCAGCATCGTCATTGTTGTTTTCATCGGTCGCAGCAAACAACCAAAAGTTGCTGCTAGATGTCGTAGCGGCAGTAGCCTGTGTAATCCAGCTATTGTATTGCTGGAACAACGATCTTTGACTAACGCTATGAGTGGAATGGGAACTTTGAAAGATGGACAAGACAGTCATGCAGAGGACCAATCCCACCGTGATTTGCTTGAGGCTACTACCATTATTATGATGTTGTGACGATGATCTCGCTGTTGTTGTGGATGTTTCGACTGATGAGGATGATGATGACATGTTTGTTGGAGTTGTTTGTGATCAATGGGATGGTAGATAGATTCGGAAAGGACAGCACTGTGTCCTCTGAAAAGTAAGGACGATGGAGCACGGTTTCAGCAAGGGTGCTCGAAACAAATGCGACGATCTTGTGAGTGGAAGGAAATTGCTGGAAGGGACCGCGACCAAGGCGATTTTCCAAGTTCGCGCTATTTCCAAGATCAAGTCACGAGAAACGGTCCCCACCCGTTCCTCCCGGAAATATGTAAATAATTGAAACGTCCCCACCTCCAGCCGTTATCCGGTAGTTTAGAAATTCTGATTCCACTCCCCAGCATGACGCGAATCAAAAAAATCCAGATCTTTGCCTCCCGCATAGCCTACCACCCCGGTGTGCCATGCATGCTTCGCATGAATCCTGAAGCCAAACCTCCATCCAAAAGCTCATTATTTCCGAGCCCAAGAGACCGCTGAAAGCCCAACACCCCCATCGACCACCATGGTGCTTACACCGTTGGATTCGATCGATGTTAACTACTACGCATCCTCATCGAAATCTAACCAAGCGAAACACAATAGTACCGCCGCCTTAATCCAAACGTATCTCGACTCCCTCCAGGACAAGCTAAAGCTACCTCGAATCCAATACACCGACCTAGAAGAAACCGGAGGAGTCTCCTCGAATGAAAATGAGGACGTAACACGATGGTGGTTTGCGTTCTGGGACGGCCAACCCGCCTTCTGGTTTAGCCTCACGAAAACCACAGGAGAAGACTACGCACTGGGAACTTTGGAAAGATACATGCCGGCGATCAAGAACCAGCTGATGAAAAAACTCATCCTATCCCGATTCAATAAAGTCATCGAAACCACCTACGCCTCAGCATTAAAAAAGATGAAGACAATGATCACCAACCGCAAGAAGATGTCACCCCTTCCCCCGAAGAAGAAAGTCTACACTGCTTCAGACATCGCATTCATCCTCCAACGATGCCTCTGGTTCAACATGAAATCCTACATTGACTTCTACCTCTTCCAGACAGCCCTACTCAGACTTTGCAGCAGAGGAGCTGAGACATCAAGAATCGACGTACGAAGCCTATCCGTGAGAGAACTCCGTGAAGGATCCGTGAACCACGTCCTACAATGCTTCTTAGTTCGTGACAAACTAGGTGTTGACAATCACGACCCGTTGATTCCGAACAAACACGAAGTCTTCGGAGACCCCGTTGTCGCGATAGGCCTCTCCCTATTCCTCCAAGGCGCTGACAGCACCCTCATGCCTTCCATCTCCGCCAAAGGACCAGCCGTCTCCAGTTTCTATACAGGGATGTTAGAATCCATCTGGAAGAGATACCCTCCCATGGACAAGAATTCCGTCAGAAGAGGCACATCACATTTCGGGAAGCACACGGCCCAACACCTACTCGACGGTCTCAAACTCCATGAAGCAGCCCAACTATTCGGTGGTTGGAAAGTCCTAGGCAAAGGAACGGCACGGGCAAGCTATTTTTCGAATCCGTTCCCTTACCTCTTGGACGGAGCAAAGGCACTTGCAGGATGGTCAAAGATCGGTCATGGCGACTATCAACCCGTCATCATCCCATGGATCCCAACAGACATTGGCGACAAGATCTGTTCAGTGTTCTTCGGACATATCCCGGAAGAAATGCTCTCAACCCAAGCAAAACGGATGATACTAGTATGCGTGCTATCCAAATGGGACCAACTGCTGGATCAAATTCGTGCAGAACCTAATGGATTATTCGAAGATCCAGGTAACCACATCATCGTATCCACCCTTGTTGAACGTCTCTCTAAAGAAGACATCGAACTTTCACAATTTGATGATTTTAAATCGGAATGTCACAAGCTATTCGATAAAGCCAACGACATCACAACAGCTGTACCACAACCCTCAACTCCCGCGATCACTTTGACTCCCGCGGTGGAAACCCCAACTCCCGCGAAGCCACTCCCGGAATACTCCCAATCCCTATTCGAATCCCAGTTGAAAATTCACCCGCTACCAGCACTTCTCGATCAAGTCGGAAGGACCAACCCAGCTGCCACCTTCATCAATTTTTTTGCGTTGAACTTCATGGAATCGAAGAGAAATTTCTTTGAGAAACACTCCGGTGATAAACGACTCCTTGAGAAATACCGTTGCAGGTACAACAAAATCAAGTTCGCTGTCAGGGTAATGGTCCGGTTCTCTGATAGATACCCAGGGACGAAAACCCCAACATTGCAAGAAGCTGAAGCAGTATTGCAACGAATCAAGACCGTGCTGTTGTTGGGGAAAGTGAAGACAAAGCACAAGACCTTTAACGCCGCGACACCACTCAGTTTCACAATGATCCGAGACCATGAGAAATTTTTAACGGATAAGACAAAGCCCTGGTATCGCCCGCTCCCACCCGATACACCATTCACCTTCATTTCGGAAGTATACAAATCGGGTAATTTAATCATCTAACTTCGACGCCATTCCCAACCATGAAAAATGAGACGCGCACAAACGTTCCGAGTACCCGTCACCTCTGATACGACTCCTACCCCGTTGCCCGTCGGCCATCAAATCAAGTCCAACATAATAAAGAAATGTTACCCTCTTTCCGCGTTAAACTCGACCATGGTCATGTAGCCGCCTTCAAGAAAGTCATGAAAGACTTCGACGTTGAGATATCCAGATGTCACCAAATCGATCGTAAAGAATTCGTTGTGGTTTTCGAGGAACCTGGAACAACACTTGCTGACGCAATAGATTTCTTTCCGGCTGCATCCTGGGTCCCCTCGGACTGCATCCTGAGCCCCACAAAGGATGCGACCCAGCCTCAAAAGCCGGCAGAGCTAAAGAGATAGTATCCACAACACGGATGTAATATAAAAGGGGGGCCGAGGTGGGAAAATCCATTATTACCCCACCTCGGACCCATGCCCCCCTACTCTTTTACTATACGAAACAGCTGAATGGGCCAAACCTTAATTGAAGATTCCCCCTACGTCATCTCAGGGAAGCTTTTATTTCAGGGTTGTGTCCCTCCTTAAGTCTTTTATTATCCCCTTAAGTCTTTAGTTCCCCCTCAACAACCTAAGCCCACTACGGCACTTGAGTAGCACCAACCTAGCAACGCAGCTCCCCCTTCGAGCCCCTGTGGCGATTGAACATAACAACCTAGTAGGGACATGGGCGATTCCAAACTCAGCCTCGCGGCGATTGAGCGTCCCTGTCTCTCTTTTCTCCCTTATACAGGTAAGTATAACTATATTCCTTGCAGCCTTAGCCATTGTACTTGTAGCCTTAGCCATTGTACTTGTAGCCTTAGCCCCTTGTAGCCTTAGCCATTGTACTTGTAGCCTATTGTAGCGTAGCCCTTGTAGCCTTAGCCATTGTACTTGTAGCCGTAGCGTATTGTAGCGTAGCCCTCCATTGTACTTGTAGCCTATTGTAGCGTAGCCCTTGTAGCCTTAGCCATTGTAGCGTAGCCTTAGCCCTTGTAGCCATCTTCAGCATTAACCCCCGGAATTAAGATAATAGCCCAGCCTTGTAGTGCAACCCTAGCCTTGTAGCGTAGCCTTAGCCCTTGTAGCGTAGCCCCTAGCTTTGCAGCCATTGTAGCCTTCTCCCTCGGAATTTCCAAACCTAAAGACCGCCAAAGGACCATAAATTAATCCCAACCTAGAAAAAACCCCCTCTCGAAATATTAAACCGACAATCCGACCATGGCCAACACCCCCTTTGACCTCATCAACACGACCGGTGAAGTATGCATCATTTGCGCAACAAAGTTCCGCAATGGCGACAAGGTCGTCCTCTTTGACTGTGGCCACTTCATGTGCAACGATTGCCATGAAAACCTCATTGCTGTACGCGCTACCTACGAAGACGACTACCTAGGAGAAGAAGACGACGATGGCCGTATCGGAAACGGGTGCCCCGTCTGTCGCTCGGATGATGAAGTAGCTCAGGTCTATCAAGCCGTGGTGTACCACCGTGGAACCCAGGACGACCCCGTGGTCATCGATGAGGACTAAGGTAACCCTAAACCTATAGACCAACGCACACCCCCCCCCCTTACCAGTAACAGACGTTAGTCTCGCTCGTGTGCAGTGCACGCGGTTAGCATCAACCCGTTCCAGCCCGCGCCGGTACCGTGCTCCGATTTCTTGCACGCGCACTAATCGAATGCAGAACACACCTCTGGGCATAAAAAATCAACCTCAGACTCAACTCCAAGTCCAACCTGAAGGTGAAAAACCTCTACCATGCCATGGAAAGAAAGACCCCCGAAAGTTAGCCACTGGTCCTTTACCATCGCATCCCCTACACCGGCAACAATAGAAAAGCTTTCAAATCCCCCACCGGGTAAAATACTTTACATCGCCTTCACTGTCTTGCCGGACTCTTCCCTCCTCGGATACCTCAACACACCCCGATGCTATGCTTCGGGGGTAAAACGCGTCTTCCCAGTATCCGCATCACCCGACAATGCGAAACGCACCTTAAGGACAATCCTAATGAATGACAACTATCAGCATTTCGGTGATCCAGGCACGCAAGATATAAGGTGGTTCATCCTAAAACTTACAAAATCCTCCCAGGAGACCAAGGATCTAAAGAACGACGTAGACATCCTTTCATCGGTGCTTGCACGCACCAAAACCCCCTCAATCCGCCATCACCTCAAAGCATTAATCTCGAAGCCCCACCGCGCCACCACCTCGAAGCACTAATCGATTAGTCACACGCAAACCCCAATTTAATTCTTTTAATTTTTCAATTTAATTTTTTTACCGAATAAAAACTTACCACCGCAAACCCCCCCGGTGTGCCAGTCTTGCGTGTTCTCTACTGCCCCAAACAATCGTAGCTTACAATAACAGAATGAATAACGTTGACAGCCGAGGCCTGCTAATACATTTGAAAACGTTCACCGACAAGTCCAAGAAGTTCAAGGAATGGAGGATTGAAGGTGACATTGAAGAAACCATCGAAGAACAAAACCGCTGGAGTCTTTTGTGGAGTTTCATTGATACACACCGGTTCTCTGGCGCCGGTCTGAAGGATAGTGAGCTGTCAGAGCGGGCAGTAATGGGAGATATGCGGGCAGTAATCTCTCTGAAGAAACCCTTGTCTTGGAGAGAAATGGATACTATTTTTGGTTTCAATAGGTTAGATTATTTTCCCGTGCAGCGTTATAAGGAGTTCCTACGCAAGATCAACCACGCAAATATCCAGAGAGAACTGAACGGTTCAAAGAGGAAGATTGAAGGGGATGCTGTCAACACATTTCCCAAGTTACTAACACCCGAGGAACGGTTGAAGCTAGAGCAACAGGAAGAGGAAGAACAGGACCCAGAAGGAGATATGACAGCGAAGAAGAGGAGGCATTGAATGCCCTTGTGCTAAGCATCATCGGTACCGCCGGCACCGGCACCGGCGTCATTGGCAACATCATCCATGTCGTGGTTAATAACCTTGAAAGGAAGGTCAAACAAAGCCGTCAAAGCCGTGATGAATTGGCTGCGTAGCCATCGGTTTTCAAAATCGTTGATGTACTCTTCACAGACTTCACCATCTCCTTTAAACCACTCCACATGCAACAAATCATCCTCGCCCTCGCCAATGAGATGGAACTCAATCTTCACCGCGGTGCTAAGATCCTTAGACATCACAGCGTTCAAAGGACGCTCAATGTCTTCATGAATGTTGATTCCGCGGTAGTTAATATTAGCCATAGTTGATATTGAAATCTCTGTTTGCTGTTTGTTCGAGTTGTGGCTCTGCTGCAGAGTTGGTTCCATCAGTTTCGTACGACCTCAACGTGGTTCGGTTCCGGTCCACGGTAACCACCCCACCCACGGTGGTTTCTCAGTCCACGGCACCCATCGTTTGATTGATTCCCATCGTGGATTCTCACCGTGGCGTTTTTCACGGTGACTCCCGTAAGTGCACGAAAAAAAATCGCCGACAACGAACTTGGAGACCACAATCCGACAACAAGAGCCAACAACAACCTTCGTCAGTTCCCTCTGTTCCTTTGCCTTTGCAATGTTTACTCTTCTACACTTCTTCATCCTCATGCAGCTGGCGGTTACCGTCGATGCTACTTACTTGCACACCTACATGAGTGGACGTTACGAGCATCACTACCTTTTCGCTAGTTTCATGTTGTTTGTCGTTTGGGATGCTGGTGTCACGACTATCAAGGATGTGATCGCGGACATCAACGATGACGGGAATGCCGGTGATGCAAGAGTCCCCAGGTACCGTCGTTGGTTGGCCCTCGTGCGTGCCTTCGGTCTTCGCTGGGGTGGTGGATTGATCCCTGGTGACATCAAGGAGGCTGTCAACGACGTTGAAACAAACATTGGAGTCCACGTTACCGATTGGGATCATGAACTCCCTGCTCCTTACGACGAAGATACGGATGATGATGACAGCGAAGAAGAGGAGTAGGACTACCTTATGCAACACACCACACCGTCGCGTCCACTAGGGTTACGATAGTAAACCCCCATCCTTAAAGAAAAAAATCTAATTTCCCTTTAATTTTCTTACATTTTACATTTTTAAAAACTAAAAAACCATGAAATACGAAGACGCCTCTGCGTTTCACCTGTACTGCCAGACAGGTAAACACCCGTCTCTTCTCACCTCCTCCCACACGATAAGAATTCCCGAGAATCAACAGAAACCATTAACTAACGCAGTATCCTCAGTCCAAGACAACATTAATTCCGTCCCGTTCCATGTATTCAATGACAGTGTACCCATAATTAGGGCTGAAAGACCGACCTCCGATAAGAAGTCCCATGTTTGACCGTACATGCTCATCGCACTCAGCAACGTGGTGACCCGGATCAACATGTTTATGTGTCTCATTACAGTAAGGACAAATTACAGTAATAGAACCCTTAAGCCTTAAAGCAACAGGAGTCCCATAGTAGTTCTGCATATACGCCTCCATCTCCCCTACACCCATAGGAACGCTAGCAGTACTAAGACTTGGCGTCTCACTTGGCGCATCCTCAACCACCTTAGGAGTAGGAGCAGATGGAAGTTCACTCACCTCCGCCGCACCGCCATCGTCCTTTCCCTCAATTTCAGAAGCAAAATCTTCAATCTTCATAACACCATCCATCGTAAAAAAATGTGGATAGTCACTTCCAACATCATCAGCCTACCAGATTACATCACTATGATTGAGTTCATGAAACGGAAGTTTGTAACTGAAGGGTTCATCAGTTACAACCATGCACATGGTTCCCTAATCCTTTGTTGCCTGATCCACGAAGATGAAGAAGTCAACGTACCCAATTGGTTCCCAATGTACACTGTTCAACACCAAGATGACAACAACATGGATCTAGACCAACCCCCATCCATCGCCGGCAACATGCTAATAGCCATGACAAACTGCGATTTACTCCACACCAAGAACCTAAAGAACACAAGATACAGACTAGCTGACCGCCTCGGGGTAACCCTATCCCCCTCATCAGTAACTGTAGAGTAACCCTAACGATAAACTAAAATCCCTAACCATAAGCGTGTATCCACAAACGTCACGCTTTCATGATCAAACACGATTCCCCCTAAGTCTTCGGTACCCCGCGTAAGCATGATCCCGGTCTGACGAACCAGGACCCTGACACCTGAAGTTGAATCCGAATCCAAACCCACCAATCAGAACCCCCATCGGCTAGCACCCAATGAGAACCGGTTGAAGTAACCAACCAATCAAAATGAAGTTTGCTGGAGATAGTACCGACCCACCAAACAGTCTACAACCCAAGCTATTTTATTCAATGAAAGTTCCACCGCCTCTCGACCGGTTAAATAACCCCGACCACTGCGGACTAGACTCGTGACTCGTCCGTGACAGACTCCCCGTGGTCCCAAATCCTCTTGTAATTAAGGAAAGATCGGCACAAGCACCTTCAAAGGTCCATCTGCAGTTGGCGCCAAATCGAATCAACAGTTGTGAACCTTTAAGGTGGACGCCCAAGAGTAGTAAGCCAGTCTTAGGCTGGGATAATACGAGGGTTTGTTTGAGCTTGTATGTTCGCATATCTTTTGCAATTGTACGGAATCTGGAATCTTTAGATCTTTCCGGTGAACGAAATCTGGCCGGATTCCAGTTTCAGCTGAGATTCTTGGATTCGAGCCATAAATTCTAGCTTCGCGCACTTCATCCTATAAGTCTTTGTTTCATGTGAGAGCCGGTCGACCCTCGTGCTAGCGCCAAATTTTTGTTCATGTATTCTCGGACCCATCAAGAACCCATGTTTTCGATCGGCACAGAGCACCTCTGCGAGTATCACATTTCTTTTTGTGATTTTTGGCAGGAACGACGTTGAACGTCGAACGTCGGTAGTATGTCACTCCTTGCAAAGGCAGCCAAATGGAAGGCAAGCCTGTCTAAAGAGCAATACAAGCTTGCTGCCAGAGATAGTGGTGGCAATGGCTGGAATCTTCCTGGTATCAGTGGGTCTTCTCCAACCAGCAGGACCAGAGGCGGTGGAAATGGCCGGCCCAAGTACAATCGACAGCATGGCGAAGAATCCAGTGATGAAGATGAGCCAAATGTTGCTCCAGAGTTTCAAGAGGATGGAGTCACAGATGTGGAAGAAGAACCAGCAACCACTGAAGAGGATAATGCTCCCATATTCAACACAAAACCCCACCAACGAGTCATACTCGAAATAGAACAACTGAACAATTGTTTCAGTCAGTTCCCTTGTCGCAGAGAAGACTGTAATGGATCCCTCCAATTCGTCATCAACAATTGCTGCATTGCCTCATCATTCAAACTGGAATGTACCAATGAAGATTGCGACTATGTTTATAGCAGCAACAAGCCAGCCAAAACAACCATGCATGCGAATGCCGGTGGCAAGGATAAGGTCGCAAGAAGCACTGACATGGCTGTCAATGTGTTGTTTGTGTTGGGTAATCTTGCAAATGGCAACGGTGGAACCGAAGCTGCTAGAATCCTCGGTCTTTTGGGTTTACCGAATGACACAACCATGCAAACTCGTTCCTTTGGAATCATTGAGGAGCGAATTTCCCCATCCATTCGGGAGTTGATGGATGAAGTCATCCGTGAAAATCTTATAGAGGAGGTCCGCCAATCGACGCCAAATGAGGCAGACTTTCTAGCTTGGATGGCAGCGGTGAACGATTCCAATGGCACGTTACTCAAGGAGAAGATGCCGTTTGTCGACGGGGCTTACGATATGGCGTGGCAACAGAAGGGATCCGGTCACTTGCGTAATTCCGTGTCCGGCCACGGTGTGATTGTTGGTGCCATTACGAGAAAGATCATTTCGTTTGGCATCAAAGAAAGCAAGGTTTGCAGCAGATGCATTGCTTGGGCAAAACGGCATGCGGATACGGATGCTGACAATCGTCCACCAGTTCCGGCGCACACTTGCACCCGGAACCACAATCCCAATGACTCGTCTGGGTCAATGGAGGCCGCTCTTGCTTTGGAGCTTGTCGTTGGATTTTTTCGAGAGTCGAAAGTGATCTTGCGTCGGTTGTGCTGCGACGACGATTCATCCATCCGAGCTGACTTGCAATGGAGCAACTGCAATACACGGCTCTTAGCCTTATTCGCGACTCGATCCTAGATAGGGTTTGAGTTCGACTCATGACTGAGTCTCTCGGAATAGTCATTTGAGAAGGGTCTCAATGACCGCGCTAGTCACTAGGTTGATGATGAAACATCGCTCTAGAATTTAGCCAGCGTGGAGTACTTCCACGCTACTAGATCCAGGCTAGACAAACCTTCCACGCGTTCCGTTTTAGGATCGTGGAGAGACGTAGATTACTACCACAACCTACTCTATCACACTTTATAGTCTCCGCGGGAAGCAGATCTACAATCCCTTGATGATGATCTCTCTCGTTGATTAGTTTTCATAGCTTTCTAATCTCTCTCATAACTTTCATTCTCTCAAACTCAACACTCGAAAGATCTTTACACTAGCTTTTGGCGTAGTGCATTTTGTTAACAAACACAATAGCTTTCAGCTACCCTCAACCTATTCTTCACCATGAAGATGGCTCAAGAAAGCATGCGTTCCGCAACTTCGAAAAACAGTTGCGTGACAAACCCATTCTTCCTCTCGTCGACAACGACGACAAAAACGAGATCGACGATACTCGTGCAACACTTGCAAACTTCGCAACCATGTTGCCAAGCGCAAATCAGAAAACTCTGACAATGAGGACAACTCCTCTATCAACTTCAATCACTTGGATGGAGAAATCTCTATCTGAGGATTAGGCCAGGATGATGACTCAAGGAACCCTGTTCCGATTTCTCATACCAAAGTGATGAAGATATCTCACTAACTAGTAAACAAGAATTTGTTTGCAACTGATGAACTCTACGGCAAATTAGATGATTGCCTAGAAGCTGCTCAACTAGACTCGATGATCTATTTAGCATCGTTAACCTCTTCCGTGGCCAACCACTCGTAAACGTCGCAAGACAAGAGACCTCAAACCCATCTCTATGTTAGATTTAACAAGCGAGAAAAAGGGAAACCAAAACCGTTACACTCCGTTGCTTACGGATACAGGAGCATGGAACCTTGATTGCTCAACTCATGCTAAGAAATACGCATGAAGGATCTTGGGGGCGTCCAAACGATGTGGACTACCCCTGCAGGAGAATTAAACACCAGCACGAAGTGCAAAGGTGCATTTATGATTCCTGAATTCCACGAAGATAGAATTATCGAGTGGGATTTACACGTCACCAAGAGCTTGGGGGCGTTGACATGATCATAGGTCGAGAATTCTCTCTGACTTAGGTTTCAAGTTCGATTCACTACCATGTCAGTGGAATGGGACGGCGCATCTATTCCTATGAAAGATAGGCACAAATGAAGAAGAGAACTTCTTCATCCTGATCCTACGCGTGATGACAGTGCAGATCGTCTCAAGAGATTCTTGATGCGAAATACGAACAAGCTGACTTAAGGCAGGTTTGCCAAAGTCAAGATCAGTTAAACACGGAAGAGAAGGAACAGCTTCATTCCTTACTGACAAAGTACTCTGACCTGTTCGATGGTACTTTAGGAAAGTGGCAGATGGACGACTACGAAGTAGAACTTCTCCTGATGCTAAACCCTATCATGCCAGAGCTTATCCTATTCCACGGTTCATACCAACACTCTTAAAATGGAGGTTGAACGTCTCTGCGAGGCAGGAGTACTCAAGAAGGTAAACGTTCGAGTGGGCGGCACAACTTTCATCATTCCAAGAAAGATGGATTGTACGATTCATCTCTGATTCCGGGAACTGAACAAAAGGATAAGCGGAAGCCTTATCCTACCCAAAAAACAGGACATCTCTTGAACCTAGACGGATTCAAGTACGCTACTATCTAGACCTGAACATGGGATACTATCACATCGAGCTGTCACTCACTCGAGCAACCTATGCATTGTA